ATGGAGGGCACCTGGAGTAGGGTGTGGGCATGCGTAGGTGGGTACACCTGGGCTGAGACTGGGATTATGAGGGCGGCTTTAGGGGGATGCCAGAGAAACGGAACAGGGAGATGAGAACCAGAGCAGAGGAAGGAGATCAAGAAGCAGCAAGGGAACCCAGAAAGAGCGAAGATTCGCCGGGCGCTAGGAGGCCTGCCAGCCTCCTGCCCCTCAGCACCCCTGCCTGCTGTGTACCCGGTAAATCCCAATAAAAGCCTGAAAAAGCCACCATGGGCTCCAGGAATCCTTACCCCATCTGCTTGGATCATAGAGAACCTGCTCTGTGCCTTCCTGCTGCTACATTGAGATGCCAGAAGCACGAGTAGGAGTCAGCTCAAACTCCATGGTATTTACTCTAGATACATTTCCAACCACTTCCTCCTTACTCACAGTCCCTGGAGTGTTTCCTATGTCCTGTGGATGGAGAAAGGGGAGATCTGGTTTCATCTGTTTGCAGGTGGTTCTGCATGACGTACTGTAGGGGCAGGAAAGTGCACAGGGCAGGATTTCTATGACCTGAGCAGTCGGGTGAAGGAGGAGTCCTGGAACTCTCAGTGGCTTTTTAGGCTTTTATTGGGATTTTCCAGGTACATGGCAGGCAGGGGTGCCAGGGGGCTGGGAGGCTGGCAGGCCTCACCTGTGTGGGCTCTCCGGTGTTCGCCGGTGGTCTCTGCTTCTCTGCTCCTTTCGCTCTCGTTTGTTCTCCTTCTGGTCTCTTTCACTCTTATAAGCTCAGTCTCTCAGCCCAGATGAACCCACCTACATATGCCCACACCCTACTCCAGGTGCCCGCCATCAGGCATGCATTCAGCACCACAGGGTTCTCTCATCTATCCTAATAGCGGGAGGGCAGAAAAGCCTGACACTTCACTTACCCTACACATACTATCAACAGCACCACAGAGAACAGACTCCTTCCTGCAGCACGACAGCCCCAGGAGGGGTGACCCTGAAGGATGGTGGGGACTGGAAACCTTACTGAGGAGAACGCTGGACCACACATTATCTGCATCTTTGCTTTGCTGAAGCAAAAACATGACCAGAGTTACTATAATCAATAGGTAAGGCTAACAACTGTAACTTGGGTGGTGGAAAACTATTATTGGTGAATTGACAAGGAAGTCTAGGAACTAGGAATGTGGGTAAGCCTTTTGGGGAAGGGGACAGATGGTGAGACTATTTGTGCCCTGCGTGACTATTCACCAGTGGGCATTTCCCGCAGAAGAAGACAGGTTGACCCCTTCTGTGGATGTCAGTTGTAAGGAATATGGAGTTACTTGGGCTCTTTTTCACCTTCCTGCCAGTCTCTGTGGCTGCCACTGGTGGCTTTGTTTTCTACCCAGGTTTCCTTACCTACATGTGATAATGTGTTATTGCAATAAGTGCTTAGGACCTCAAGCTAGGGGCACATGCATACCTATAATTACCGACACCTGGGCCAAGAAGCAGGTGATCACAGAGCTGGGAGTTGGGGGGGTGTCTAGGAGGCTCGGTTGCTGCCTGCCTGCTGGTCTGCCTGAATATTTGGTCCCCTGTTTCAGCATTAAAGACATGTCAGATAGTAGTCTAGCTTCATTCTTTTGCATGTAGCAGTCCACCTCACACCATGCACAAAAAACCAACTCAAAATGGATAAAAGAATTGAACATAAGAAACTATAAAATATGTAGAAGAAAATATAGGGAAAACACTACATGACGTACATCTCAGTAATATCTTTAAAGACATATCCCCCAGGGCCTCCCCGGTGGTGCAGCGGTTGAGTGCTGGGTTGCGAAGCTGCCCGCAGCCTCTGCAGCACCGGTTTGATCCCCGGCCACTGGGTGAGGGTCCCACATGGCGTGCAGACCTCTCCTGCCGCCCGCTGCTCCCCTCAGCAGTGTACTTTGGTCCTTCTGCCTGTTCTGTTCCCCACTCTGGCTCTGGTGAATTCTCTCACCCTCCCACAATTTTGACTGTACCCAGTGCTTGTATAAATAAATAAGTAAATCTTAAAAAAAAGAAAAAAAGATGCATCCCTCAAAGCAAAGAAAGTGAAGGAAAAGATGAACAGCTGAGATTACATCAGACTAAAATCTTCTGGACAGCGTAAGAGACATTAACCAAAACAAAGATACACCCTAGTGATTGGGAGAAAATTTTTGCACACATACTACTGACAAGGGACTCATCACAAAGATCTACAAAGAGCTGATGTGACTCAACAAAAACAAAATAAACAATACAGTCAAAAATTGGGCAGAAGAGCTAAAAAGATACTTCTCCAAAGAGGAAATGCAAATGGCCAACAGGTATATGAAAAAGTGTTCAACATCACTTGTAATTAGGGAAATGCAAATGAAAACCACCTCACACCAGTGAGAATGGCACATGTTAAAAAAAAACAGGGAAAAACAAGTGTTGGTGAGGATGTGGAGAAAAAGGAACTCTCCTGCACTGCTGGTGTTGTTAGGGGGAAAGGATGTCCTGAACAAACTCCATACAGGTTTTGTGGACTCCACCCCCACTCCAGACCAAAGCCATCAAGACACTGGGAATTACAAATCCCATGATCACCAAAGGGAGGATTGCTGGGACAGGAGGGTGGAGTTAAGCAGCCAGGTTTTGGTATAAAACCAGCCATGTGGGCTGGGGTCACTCTCTTGGCCTCACAATTCTTGTCTTTTTGCCAGCTCTCAGCTGGTCATTGGGATTCCAGGTCAGCGGAACTGGTAGGACACATTCACAAATTTATCTCCCTTTTTTCCTCCCTGAATGATTCATTTCTTCATTTCCCCTTCTTTTGTTAATAAAGCTTTTATTAACCTTTGTGTGTGCCTGCAGTTGAGCATTAATAAGTCCCTTTTAAGTGCATGGGTGAGGACCCACAGTCAGGCAACCCGTTTCATATCAGGGTTGCTCTGTAACAGTGGGAATGCAAAATGGTCCAATCACTATGGAAAGCTGTGTGGAGGTTCATCAAACCACTAAAAAATGGAGCTTCCATATGACACAGTAATTCCCCTTCTAGGAATCCATGTAAAGGACACAAAAACATTAATTCAAAAGGACACCTGCACCCCTATGTTTATTGCAGCACTATTTATAATATGTAAGCTATGGAAACAACCAAAATGCCCAAAAATAGATGACTGGTTGAAGAAGATGTGGCATATATACACAATGGAATATTACTCAGCCATCAAAAAGATAATCTCATGCCATTTGTAGCAATATGGATGGAGTTAGAAGGGATTATGCTCAGTGAAATAAGCCAGAAAGAAAAAGAAAAGTGTTAGATGGTTTCACTTATAGGAGGAATGTGGGAGAAACAAATAAGGGATCAGGAAAAAAAATAATTATAATAAATTAAAAATCAAAAGCAATAGGCAACTATAATGTCAGAGACATTCTGCAGTGGAGGGTGAGGGAGAGGGATCAAAACAGGGGAGGGAAGAGCTCAAGGAAATACATTGTACAAAAAGTAAGAATGATGTGAAATATATATACAATAAAAATTAGATGCTTCAATACTTGCAAAAATAAAAGTGTCAGATATACCTAAGGCTCCAAGATTCTTTTTTTTTTTAAAGATTTATTTATGTATGCATACAAGAGCTGGGGTACAGGCCGGAGCTGTGGGGGGTAAGAGGATTCACCAGAGACAGAGTGGGGAACAGAACAGGAAGACTGACCAAAGTACTCTGAGGGGAGCAGCAGGTGAGTCAGGAGAGGTCTGCTTCGCCATGTGGGTTGCTCCCTGGCCAGCCAGGGGATCGAACTCATGCTGCTGTGCCTGCCGACTGCTTCATAGGTTACGTATTAACCCCTTGCGCCACCAGGGAGGCCCCTCCAAGATTCTTTGTTGATTTGCCTGGATCAACCATGAACCTGCCTCGGCCTGAGATGGTTGCATGACATAAGTCAACCCCTTTCTCTAGCTGCTCTGGTGCTAGCTCAAAGGGCTCATGGGTAAAGAAACTCATGGGATGGAGGTAACACATGGGCTCAGTGACAAGCTTTCTCCTCATCAAGGCTGATCCAGACGGATACTTGCTGATGCCTAAGCTGCCAACAGCAGAGAGCAACGTCAACCGCACTCTATGATCCCACACTCTGGAGACACCTGGTATCAGGTTGATGACATGGGACTTCTTCCACTCAGGAGGAAGTAGTGACCTGTCCTTATTAAAACATACTTGTCCATTGTGCACACAATGCTTCTACCCGCATCACCATCACTGGATTTACTGAATGCCTTATTTATTATCATGTGTCCCTGACCACGTCTTCTGACAAGGAAATCTTAATGCTTCCAGCAAGAGAAGGCCTTCGATGATGCATTTTTAATTTCTTTTAAATTGAAGTGTCACTTACAATAAAGTACACAAATATTATGTGAGATTCCAATGAAGTTTTACATGTGTACTCACCCATGTAACCACTGTTCAGACAAAATATAGATGATTATCAAACCCCCTCTCAGGAGATGCCCTCATGGCTCCTATCAGTCAGTGTTTTCCCCAGGGGCAGCCTAAGTCTGACTTTCATCACAATAGATTAATTTCACATGGAATTATATAGTAGGCATTCTTTTGTTTTTTATTTCTTTTACTCAACATTTAGTCTATGAAATTCATTAATGATTTAATATTTCATCCTTTTTTCATTATTGGATGGCACAATTTATTTACCTATCCTAATGTTAATGGACTTTTAAATTTATTATTATTATTTTTTAAAGATTTATTTATTTTTATACAAGAACTGGGGTACAGGCCAGATGTGCGAGAGGATGAGAGGATTCACCAGAGACAGAGTGGGGAACAGAACAGGCAGACTGACAAAATACACTGCTGAGGGGAGCAGCAGGCGAGACAGGAGAGGTCTGCTCACCATGTGGGTCAGCAAGCTGGCCAGGGATTGAACTGAGGCAGCAGTGGCTGGTGATAGCTTGATAGTGCTGAGACTTTAACCCCTGCGCCACCAGGGAGGCCCCATCTAGCTTTTTAAAATCTCTTCTAGTTAATGCTTTTTGTGTCCTATTTAAATATCTTTCCCTACCTCAAGTTCTTATTGGATTTTTGGAGGATTAAATATGTACTTAAAGACGCCTAGAACAGCACTTGGTACAAAAACAAATGCTTCACGGGGAAACTGAAAGAATAAACTGGAAAAAATGTAAACATGCGGTCCTGGTAAACCACCCATTATGTGCTTTTGTTTCTTAGAGATGTCATTAAGCATCTGCAGCAAAGCCTTGCCATGACTTGGGTGACGGGAGAAGCTGTCCTGAGGTGGTCACCATAGCTCCCTACAAGAGTCTGAGACTTGGGTAGTACCCAAACTTTGACTCGAAGTCATCTCCACGCCTGGTGAAATTGTCTTTCTTCCAACCCGCCTCTACTTGCTCTTTTCCAGTGTCATTCAAGGTCTTTGTGATCTCTTTGCTGTTTCTTTTCTTGACCTTGCCCCACTCCTTGGAAACATTTCATATGCCCTCTGAATCATTTCATAATCATTCTTCTATTGTCTTCTATGATTCCCATCCTTCATTCCATGATTTCTTACCACTTGTAGGCTGGCGGCTTCGATCCCAGCCAGCCAGGGAGATTCCCACATTGCCAAATGTTTTCCACTATCCAGCCTATGGCCACAGCCACGTTGTCCTGTCATGGCTTTCTTGGCGGCCTCCTCTGTGATCATTTTCGTGGATATTGTAATGTCTCCCTCCATGTCCATGACTCCGGCCATGATTCATGCCAGGGCTGTGTCTCATTTCATGGCCCATTCTGTGTCCTAAATTATGTGCTCTTCCATGGACCAGGCCACTTCCCAAATGGCGGAATATTCCAGAACTCAGTCTTGAGTCCAGGTCCAGACCAAGGCCAATTCTGTGATCATGTAGGTAATAATTGCCACTATTTACCAGGGAGCAGGAAAAGTCCCTCTAAAGGAAAAAAAAATAAATGTTATAAAATTAACATCTCTTGTCTTTAGACATTTGTTTCACCAACATCAAACTTTTACTTTTCAAAATCACTTGTTTTTTTCTCTTTCACCATCCTTATTGTGCCTCTGTCTCTCTCCTTTGTTGTTTTGCTATTTCTCTATCTGAGAAAACAACCTTTCTGGTTACCTTATTAATGTATCCTCTGCAGCATGGTAACTTTATATGCTATTGGACTTTCAAGACAAAAGTGAAACCACATTCTTCAGTGAAAGTCACAGAGACTCACCTGAAAGTCACCTGATATTCACTTTGTTAATCAGCTGAGGAAGCTGAAGCCAAGAACATGGAATTGAGGACCCTCAGAGCTACCCATTTAGAGCCTTGAGATCAAAGGCATGAACTCCAGAATCAAACCAACCTGGGTTATACTCCTAGATTTGTATGCACTGGGGCAGATAACTAAGATTGTGACGCTCAGATCCCTCACTATAAGGTGGGTATAATATCCCCATACAATTGTAGAGCAAATTAATGATGTGACACATTTTAAACACGTGGCCCCAAGCATGTAGTAAAAACTAAATATTAGTTCTTATTATCTGTGATCTTGCACATTAAATATCAAGTAATTTAGGAAGTCACTCTGGTGAATGGTACATACATATGGGAAGAAGCTGAGAGCTCTGAAATAAAGAATCCTAGTAAGTTGGCTATGTTATGCCAGGTCTTTGTAGCTGCAGTTTTTCATTTGTTTATCCACTTTACCAGTGTATATTAATGGTTATTTAACAACCAGCTTATTCCATAGGTGAAAAATGTGCTTTGTAATATTTGCCAATTTCAGCATTGTCCATACCTCAATCACAGCACAGTTCAGTGTCTGGATGATTCTAGTCTGCCAACTGCACCAAAGACAACCAAGCACAGACTGTTCATCTCTACTTGTGCAAAAGCATGAAAAGGAGGAGGTATCCTGCACTAACCAGGGCTAAAATTTGATGGAAAGCAGTAAACAGAGGGTGTTGCTAAAGACCCCTCACTCCCTGAAGAGTATTTTTCCAGTGTTAAAACATTCTAATTTCCAAATCTTGTTTTATTAAAGACATAATTTTCTTTAAATACAATGCTTCCATTTTCCCCTTTCACCAATTTCCTTTCACTTTGACTCCAGCTTCATCTATTTCTTCCTCTTTTTCTGCCTTGCATCTGTCACATTCTCTGACTGAATCTTTCTATCTGATCGTAGCTATTTCATTTTTTTCTTCCCAGTACACCTGCTTATTTTCCTCTCTCATTCTGAATATCCTAATAGCACCATTTACATGCCTCCTACTCCACTGATCATCTGCCTTCGGAGTGGGCTCCCCTGTCACCCAGCCTTGGCACTCACCAGGCACAAGCTCACTGTCACCAGCAGTACAACGCCCATCACCACTGCAGCCAGGGAGATGAGGGCGATGCTCCAGGGCTGCAAAAGTCCACTTGGTGTTGTCTTCATCGTCGGTGTGGGGCTCACAGCAGCTGTGTCTGTGCCCATGGAAGCTGGGCCTGTTTTATGGAAGGTGCTGCTGGTTCCAGAAGCTGTGGCCGGATGCAGGGTGGATCCCGTTCTGGTGGTCCTGGTACCTGGGACGGAGGCGGTGGGGGATGCTCCAGTAGTGGGCGTGTCCAGGTCAGAGGTGCTGGGGACTGTCCCGGGAGCAGGGCTGCCAGAAGCAGTGGTCATGGACTCTACTCCAGGGGTCCTGGTGACAGAGCTGGGGGTCGTAGGTCTGGTGCCAGGGGTCCCGGTGCCTGGGAAACAGAACACTCATTGTGATGCATTTGCAGTGAAATAATTAAAGGGGAGGCAGGTGCCCATGGAGCAGAGGGATTGAATCTGATGGTGGAGAGGTGTGGTGGGAGGAGACATGGTAGAAAGTGACCCACTTGGGGCCACGCTTTCCAGAATAGAGGTGGTTGTTCAGAGAAAAAGAGAGAGGATATGCCCACTGGCAGTGCTGGTGATGGTGGAGGAGAAAAGTGAAGAAATGTGGGAGATCTAGTCAACCACAGAAGTGGTCACCGACAAAGAGAGGGTGAGCTGGGATAAACGGGCAGAGTCTGATTTCCATGTGATGTGGTCACTGGGTGTAAGGGTGATGGTGGAGGAATAGATGATAAAATCTGATTTAGTCACGGAGAGGCAGTGGCCATGTGGGGAGCGCCGGGGCTGTAGCCACAGTCATGGCTCCATAAAGTCAAGGTGTGTGTTGAGAACAGATGTGGAAGAACCTGGCCCATGATGGGGGCAGCTGGCCATCAGGCTGGGAAAAGGTGGGTTCAGAATGAGGTGGGGAGACCTAGTTCAGCAGAGGCAGAGGAGGTCAGGGTGTTGGCAGCAGTAGCGGTGCTTAGATCAGCTGTGGTTACGCTGCAATAAAAGTGTCAGTCAGTGGAACAGCAGTGGGCGGTTCAGAGCAAAGTGAGCAGGATCAGCTCCACCACAAGTGCAGATGACAAGGGCAGATTTGGTTTTATTCAGAGCGAGTGCCAGAGAAATAAATCATTTTGATCTTAGACTACACTAAGGGTGAGCAAACTGACTCTGTACAGGGCCATGTGGCAATTTTTTAATCTATCCCCAGGGGTCACAGTCTCTGTCAAAAGCATGCAAAGTAGCTGGAAAGCAGCATAGATGTAAATGACATAGATGTAAATAGACATGGCTGTGTTGCCACAACACTGGGCCCACGAGGTGTAGTTTACAGCCCTGGAAGTGTAGTTACAGCCCTTTGAAGATGAGGCGGTTGGCACAGATGTCCTTGTGGATGCCACAGATGGTGGGTGGAACAGAGTGATAGTACTGGACCCAGAAGAGTCTGATATATGGGATGGTTGTTACAGGGCTGAGGAGGGCTTGCTGTTGGCAGAATGAAGGAAAAGAACTAACTTGTTTGTGTATGTGGGGGGCTATTTGTAAAGAAGAATTTCTGGTTGGGATGAAAATGATGGGCACTAGCCAGAAGGAGATGAGGCCAGAAAAGAAAAGAGTAAGAGTCTAGAAGAAGAAACAGAATTATCAATACATCTAAGAGGTGAGATGGCTTGACTAGTCTAGAGCAGAAACATAGAAATGGGCAAAAAGGAGCAATTAAATGTGTGAGCTAGAAGAGAGGCAGATGTCAGTACCTGAAGCTGTGGTATTGGTGCTGGGTTGAGTGAAAAAGTCAGTGGCCTTGGACACCAAAGTGGTGGAAGGAGCTGTGGAAATTCCTGAGACACCCATGGAGACTGTTGAAGATCCAGAATTAGAGGTGGAGGCTGAGAGGGGTGATGAGGCCAAAGATGAAGCTGTGGTGACTTCTGAGGCTGTGGTGGGTCCAGAAGGTGAGGTGGGAGCTTTGGTAGAGAGTACAGGGGGCACAGATGCTGAGAAGGTGCTCTTAGAAGATGTGGCTGAGGTGGTCAGGGTCTCAGAAGTTGTGCTGTTATTTGTAATGGGCACAGAAATAGAGGACAAATCTGTGGTGAACTGAGAGGTTGATGAGGAGGCCAAGGTAAACTCTGTGGTCTCTGAGCCTGTGCTGGAGGCTGTGCTGGTCAAAGATGCTGCTGTGGATGACCTGGTGGACTCAGAGGCTGTGGTGGAGGCCATGATGCTAACAGACTCTGAGGTGACCTCAGAGGCTGGACTGTAGGCCATGCTGGCCTCAGGTCTTATAGTGGAAGCGATCGTGTTCTCAGAATGTGTGGTGGACAAAGATAGTGCAGTGCTCTCAGAGGTTATGGCCAAGGCAGTTGTGGGTACAGATTCTGTTGTGTAGGCCGTGGGCATCTCAGAAAGTGTGATGGGAGTTATAGTAGTATTAGAGCCTATTGTAGTCATCAAGGCCACAGTGGAAGCTGTGGTGGTTTCAGAGGACATGGTGGATGTGGGCATTTTGGTAGAGGATGTGGTATATTCAGAGACTGTGGAGAAGATCACAGGACTTTCAGAGGCTAATGTAGAGGATTTGGTGGGCACAGACTCGACAGTGGGCCCTGCAGATAGAGCTGTGGTGGTTTCAGAGCCTTTGGTGGTTTCATTTGCATACACTGGGGTGGGCGCAAATGTTTTCATGGAGTGTGTGGTGCTCTTAGGAGCAATAGTGGATACTGATCCTGTTGTGGTATCGGTGGGCAAGTTGGTAGCTATGGTGGTCACAGACACGGTTGTTGTTAAAGAGGATTTAGTGGAGACTGAAGTGGTATCAGAGGCTATGCTGGCAGCTCTTGTGGTCTCAGAATTGGTGGTAAAGCCCATGGTAGTCTCAGAAGTTGTTACGTTCACAGAGCCTATGTTGGACGCAGATGTTACCGTGGAGGATGTGGTGGCCTCAGAGATTATGGTTGCACTAGCAGTGGATTCAGAACTAAAAGTAGAGGCTGTTGTGGGCACAGATGTTCTTGTGGAGTGTGTGGTCATCTCAGAGACCGTGGGGGAGGCACTGAGGGTCTCAGATCGTATGGTGGAGTCTGTGATGTTCACATAGCTTGCTGTGCTGGACATGCCAGCCTCAGCAGTTATGGTGGAGTCCATGGTAGCCTCAGAGGATTTTGTGAAGGATGCGGTTGTCACAAAGCCTGTGGAAGAGGAAATGGTGGACAGAGAGCCTATGGTGCTCACAATGGTTGCGACAGAGTCTGTTTGAGGCTCTGATGCTGCTGTTGAGGCAGTGCTAGTTTCAAAGGATGTAGTGGAAGCTACGGTGGTTTCAGAAGCTGTATTGGAGGCCACAGTAGATTCTGAGGTGAAAGTGTCAGCTGTCGTGGGCACAGAAGTGTTGATTGTGGTTACAGTGTCAGCAGAAAAGATAGTGGAGAGTATGGTGGAAACCAGGGTGGGCACAGACTCTTCAGGAGTCTCTGATGTCCCAGTAGAAGCTGTGGCAGTCTCAGAGCCTGTGACAGATTTAGAAGTCACCATGAGCTCTGTGCTGGGCATGTGTGTTATTGTGAAGTGTGGGCTGTTCTCAGAAGTTCTGATGGAAGTCATAGTTTTTTCAGAGATTGTGGTGGTTGAATGTGCTACAGTGCTCTTGGCAGAAACTGTGGATGGCACAGACTCTGCATTTGTCACGGAGGCTTCTGTGGAAATTGTATTGCTTTCTGAAACCATGGTAGAAACCACGGTATCCTCAGAGGTGATGGTAGGGGCTAAGGAGGACAGAGAGAATGTTGAGGTTTTAGTGCCTGTAATAGAGATTGTAGTGGGGACAGACATTATTTTAGAGGGTGTAAGACTTTCAAAGATTCTTGTGGAGGCCTTTGCGGACTCAGAGGCAACTGTAGATTTTGTCATGAAAGGAGAGGTGGTGGGGGGCCTGATGGTCTCAGAAGCCGTGGGGGAGACTGTAGTGGATTCAGAGACTTCTGTGGTCACAGATGCTGAGGTGGAGCTCATGCTGGCTTCAGAAGCTCTGATAGATGTTACAGTGGCTTCAGAGGGTTTGATGGGGACCTCAGCAGTATCAGAGGTTGCAGTAGATGGCGTGACAGTATCAGAGGTGGTGGTAGAATCTTTGGTGGTCTCTCTGAATGTTGTGTACCTAGAGTCAGAAGTGGAGGCGGTGGTAGACACAAATGTTGTGGGAGAGGTGTCAGTGTCAGAGACTACTGTGGAGGCCATGGTGGTCTCAGAGGCTGGGGTAGACAATGTCACGGGAGGAGATGATGTGTTGGGAGACGTAAGGGTCTCAGAGGTCAAGGAGGAGACTGTGGTGGATTCAGAGCCTTTGGTGTTGTCAGATGCTGAGGTGATGGTCACGCTGGTCGCAGAGATTCTGCTAGAAGCCGTGGTGGTCTCAGAGACATTGCTGATTTCAGAGGCTGTGGTAGAGGTCATGGTGGGCACAAATGCCAAGGTGGAAGGCGAAGTGATCTTGGAGTCTACGGTGATGGTTGTGGCAGTCTGAGTGTCTGCTGTGCTTGCAGAGACTGTGGTAGAGTCTGAGGTGGGCAGGGATGTCCTCATGGGTGATGGGGTGGGCACAGGTGTTGTAGTAGAGAATCCTGCTGTGGTGGTTTCAGAGGCTTGGGAGTATTCTGTTGTAAGCTCAGATGTTATGGTAGGCATCTGTGTGGTTGCTGTCTCATGAGGCACTGGTGTAGTTGTGGAAGACACAGAATCTGAAGATGTCACTGGTGTTGTCTCAGAGGCTGTGGCAGAGGCCATAGGGGACTCAGAGATTTTTGTGGAGATCCTGGACATCTCAGATATCAATGTGGAAACCTCAGTAACCAGAGATTGTGTAGTCTTCCTAGACTCAGAGGTAGAGGCAGTGGTGGTCATTGATGTGGTTGGGGAGTATAAGATAGCCTCAGAGACTGTTGTGGAGGCCATGGTAGACTCAGAGAGAAGTGCGGAGATAGTTGTGTGAAGAGAGGGTGTGTTGGAGGAGCTGATGGTCTCAGAAGCCATGGGGGAGACTGTAGTGGATACAGAGCCTTTGGTGGTCTCAGATGCTGAGGTGGAGCTCATGTTGGTTTCAGAAGCCTTGATAGATGTTACAGTGGCTTCTGAGGGCTTGGTGGGGATCTCAGCAATCTCAGAGGTTGCAGTGGATGGCGTGCTGGTTTCCGAGTTCGTGGTTGAATCTTTGGTGGTCTCTGTGAGTGTTGTGTACCTAGAATCAGTGGTGGAGGTGGTGGTAGACACAAATGTTGTGGGTGAGGTATCAGTGTCAGAGACTACTGTGGAGGCCATGATTGTCTCAGAGGCTGGAGTAGACAATGTCACGGGAGGAGATTCTGTGCTGGGAGATGTAAGGGTTTCAGAGGCTGAGGAGGAGACTGTTGTGGATTTAGAGCCTTTGGTGTTGTCAGATGCTGAGGTGGAACTCATGCTGGCTTCAGAGGATATGGTAGATGTTTCCGTGGCTTCAGAGGGTTTGGTGGGGACCTCCGCAGTCCCAGAGGTTGCAGTGGATGGCATGACGGTTTCAGAGGTGGTGGTAGAATCTTTGGTGGTCTCTCTGAATGTCGTGTACCTAGAGTCAGAGGTGGAGGTGATGGTAGACACAAATGTTATGGGAGAGGTGTCAGTGTCAGAGACTACTGTGGAGGCCGTGGTGGTCTCAGAGGCAGGGGTAGATAATGTCATGGGAGGAGATGCTGTGTTGGGAGACGTAAGGGTCTCAGAGGTCAAGGAGGAGACTGTGGTGGATTCAGAGCCTTTGGTGTTGTCAGATGCTGAGGTGATGGTCACGCTGGTCACAGAGACTCTGCTAGAAGCCGTGGTGGTCTCAGAGACATTGCTGATTTCAGAGGCTGTGGTAGAGGTCATGGTGGGCACAGATGCCAAGGTGGAAGGCAAAGTGATCTTGGAGTCTACGGTGATGGTTGTGGCAGCCTGAGTGTTTGCTGTGCTTGCAGAGACTATGGTAGAATCTGAGATGGGCAAGGATGTCTTCATGGGTGATGGGCTGGGCATAGATGTTGTCGTGGAGAACCCTGCTGTGGTGGTTTCAGAGGCTTGGGAGTATTCTGTTGTAAGCTCAGATGTTATGGTAGGCATGGTAGGCATAGATGTGGTTGATGTCTCATGAGGCACTGGTGTAGTTGTGGAAGACACAGAATCTGAAGATGTCACTGGCGTTGTCTCAGAGGCTGTGGTAGAGGACAGAGAGGACTCAGAGTTTTTTGTGGAGGTGCTAGAAATCTCAGAGGTCGATGTGGAAGCCTCAGTGACCTGAGATTGTGTAGTCTTCCTAGAGTCAGAGGTAGAGGCAGTGATGGTCATTGATGTTGCTGGGGAGGATATGATAGTCTCAGAGACTGTTGTGGAGGCCATGGTGGACTTAGAGACAAGTGCAGAGATAGTGTTGTGAAGAGAGGGTATGTTGGAGGAGCTGATGGTCTCAGAAGCCATGGGGGAGACTGTAGTGGATACAGAGCCTTTGGTGGTCTCAGCTGAGGTGGAGCTCCTGCTGCTTTCAGAAGCTCTGGTAGATGTTACAGTGGCTTCAGTGGGTTTGGTGGGGACCTCCGCAGTCCCAGAGGTTGCAGTGGATGGCCCGACGGTTTCAGAGGTGGTGGTAGAATCTTTGGTGGTCTCTTTGAATGTCGTGTACCTAGGGTCAGAGGGGGAGGCGGTGGTAGACACAAATGTTGTGGGAGAGGTGTCAGTGTTGGAGACTACTGTGGAGGCTATGGTGGTCTCAGAGGCTGGGGTAGATAATGTCATGGGAGGAGATGATGTGTTGGGAGACGTAAGGGTCTCAGAGGTCAAGGAGGAGACTGTGGTGGATTCAGAGCCTTTGGTGTTGTCAGATGCTGAGGTGATGGTCACGCTGGTCGCAGAGACTCTGCTAGAAGCCGTGGTGGTCTCAGAGACATTGCTGATTTCAGAGGCTGTGGTACAGGTCATGGTGGGCACAGATGCCAAGGTGGAAGGCGAAGTGATCTTGGAGTCTACGGTGATGGTTGTGGCAGTCTGAGTGTCTGCTGTGCTTGCAGAGACTGTGGTAGAGTCTGAGGTGGGCAGGGATGTCCTCATGGGTGATGGGGTGGGCATAGATGTTGTCGTGGAGAACCCTGCTGTGGTGGTTTCAGAGGCTTGGGAGTATTCTGTTGTAAGCTCAGATGTTATGGTAGGCATCTGTGTGGTTGCTGTCTCATGAGGCACTGGTGTAGTTGTGGAAGACACAGAATCTGAAGATGTCACTGGTGTTGTCTCAGAAGCTATGGCAGAGGCCATAGGGGACTCAGAGATTTTTGTGGAGATCCTGGACATCTCAGATATCAATGTGGAAACCTCAGTAACCAGAGATTGTGTAGTCTTCCTAGACTCAGAGGTAGAGGCAGTGGTGGTCACTGATGTGGTTGGGGAGTATAAGATAGCCTCAGAGACTGTTGTGGAGGCCATGGTAGACTCAGAGAGAAGTGCGGAGATAGTCGTGTGAAGAGAGGGTGTGTTGGAGGAGCTGATGGTCTCAGAAGCCATGGGGGAGACTGTAGTGGATACAGAGCCTTTGGTGGTCTTAGATGCTGAGGTGGAGCTCATGTTGGTTTCAGAAGCCTTGATAGATGTTACAGTGGCATCAGAGGGCTTGGTGGGGATCTCAGCAATCTCAGAGGTTGCAGTGGATGGCGTGCTGGTTTCCGAGTTCGTGGTTGAATCTTTGGTGGTCTCTGTGAGTGTTGTGTACCTAGAATCAGCAGTGGAGGTGATGGTAGACACAAATTTTGTGGGAGAGGTATCAGTGTCAGAGATTTCTGTGGAGGCCATGCTAATCTCAGAGGATGAAGTAAGCAATTTCATGGGAGGAGATGCTATCTTGGGAGACGTAAGGGTCTTGGAGGCTGAAGAGGAGACAGTAGTGGATCCAAAGCTCTTGGTGGTCTCAGGTGCAGGTGTCCAGCTCACTATAGTCTCAGAAATTGTGGTAGCATGTGTGGTAGTGGCTGTGGTGAACACAGAGGCTTTATTAATTTTATTTAATTATAATAATCACAAAATCTCCTTATGTAAGTCTGGAGAAAATAAGTTCTTTTTCTTTGAATCATTTAGGATATCTTTGGCCATCTGATGTCATCATTTATTATAGATCTTACACAACCACAGTATAAACTTCACAACCAAGAATTAGCTCATTGGTGTCAGTTTGCCTGTATATGTTATGGCCATTTATCCATCCTGTTATTTTTAAGCCATTTGTATAGTTATAATTAGAATGAGTTTCTTCAAGTTACCTTCATACTCTTGGGAAAAAATGTAGACTAGTCCAGCCCTTGTGGAAAACAGTATGGATGTTACTGAAAATATTCAAAATAGATCTACCATAGGATCCAGCAATTCCACTCTTAGGTATCTACCCAAAGAATACAAAATTGCTAACTCAAAGGGATATATGTTCATGGCAGCACTATTTACAATAGCTTAGCTATAGAAACAGCCTGTATGTTCATGGACAGAACAATGGATTAAGAAGGTGTGGTATAGAGACACAATGGAATATTACTTAGGTATTAAAAAAAGGATGAACACTTGCTTTTCACAGCAACATATTTGCAACTGGAGTGCATTATGCTAAGTGAAGTAAGTCAGAAGGAGAAAGACAAATACCAGATGATTTCACTCATGTGTGGAATATAGAGGAAAAAACAAGGGAACTGAAAAAAAACTAAGCCAAAACAATCCCTAGAAATATGACTGCATTAAGGCTGCTAGAGGAGGAAGTTATGTAGGGGTGGAAACAAAGTGGTTCGGTGCCCAATGGTCTAGGGTAAAGCACTATGGGTACTTTGGTGGTGGGACTGGTGTGGTGACATACATCTGAGGAGGTGTGAACCTCTCCCCTGAATCGTGTACAATGTCATCTCTATAAAGAAAACAATAATAAAGTAAAATAAATTTCTTGTGGACAACATTTAATTGGGACTTTCTTTTCTTTTTAAGTCAAAATGACAATCTCTGCCTTTTATTTTTATTTATTTTTTTAAATAATAAATTTTATTTTTATATTCCCCATACAATTGCAACCCCCCCATTCTGATCCCAATCCCTCCTCTCCCGCCCCCCACCCTCCCAAAAGTGTCTCTGTTTCATAGTTTTTTTGTTGATTCTGATTTTCACTTTCTTATAGTTATTCATTTTCCTGGTCCCTTATTTAAGTTTTCTAGATTCCTGCTATGAGTGAGACCATCCGGTATTTTTCTTTTTCTTTCTGGCTTATTTCGCTGAGCATGATCCCTTCCAGCGCCATCCATGTTGCTGCAAATTGCATGTGTTTATCTTTTTTGAATGCTGAGTAATATTCCATGGTGTATATGTACCACATCTTCTTGATCCAGTCATCTATTTTTGGGCATTTGGGTTGTTTCCAAAGCTTAGCTATTGTAAACAGTGCTGCTATAAACATAGGGGTGCAGGTGTTCTTTGGAATTGATGTTTCTGTGTCCTTTGGGTAAATACCTAGGAGTGGAATTGCTGGATCATATGGAAGCTCTATGTTTAGTAGGTCCAGAAATCTCCACACAGCTCTCCATAGTGGTTGGACCAGTTTGCACTCCGACCAACAGTGCAGGAGAGTTCCTTTTTCTCCACACCCTCGCCAACATTTGTTGTTGCTAGATTTTTTAATATGTGCCATTCTCACTGGTGTAAGATGGTATCTCATGGTAGTTTTGATTTGCATTTCCCTGATGACAAGTGATGTTGAACATTTTTTCATATGTCTGTTGGCCATTTGCATTTCTTCTTCAGAGAAGTTTCTTTTTAGCTCTTCTGCCCATTTTTTGACTGGATTATTTTCTTTGTTGTTGTTGAGTCTCATCAGCTCTTTGCAGATTTTTGTGATCAGTCCTTTATCATTAGTGTTGTGTGCAAAAATGTTCTCCCAGTTGGTGGGGTTTCTCTTTGTTTTTGTTATTGTCTCTTTTGCTGAGCAGAAGACCTTTAATTTGATGTAGTCCCAGCTGTTTATCTTTGCCTTCACTATCACTACTTTGGGTGATGTGTCTGTAAAGATGTCTTTGATGTGCAAATCACGTAGTGTTTCGCCTATATTTCCTTCTATATATTTCATGGTTTGAGGTCTTATGTCTAGTTCTTTAATCCATTTTGAGTTGATTTTTGTGTATGGTGTGAGGTAGTGGTCAAGCTTCTTTCTTTTGCATGTAGCGACCCAGTTTTCCCAGCACCATTTATTGAACAAACCTTCTTTGCTCCAACGCATAGTCTTTGCTCCTTTGTCAAAGATTAGTTGACCATAAATCTGTGGGTTTATTTCTGGATTTTCTATTCGATTCCATTGGTCTGTATGTCTGTTCTTGTTCCAATACCATGCAGTTTTGATGATTATGGCTTTGTAGTATAGTTTGAAGTCTGGGAGTGTGATGCCTCCATTCCCTTCTATTTTTTTCAGGAGAGCTTTGGCTATTCGGGGTTTTTTGTGGTTCCATATGAATTTCATCAATAATGATGATTAATTGGAGATTTTTGATGCTTTTAATTGGAGATTTTTGATCATTTATAGTGAAAGTGATTATTAACATGCTTGGGCCCAAATCCATAATCTTCTAATTTTCTTAAATATAATACTACTTATTTAACTTCAGAAACATTTCAGGATGCTAAACGTACAAGAACTAACAGTTTGTTTGCACATTGTGTTTACTGCAGAAGTTTCTTAAACTTCTGTTGATGCAGTGACTCTTCATTGACAATGAAAAATTCAACAGTTTGTTTATAAACAGCTTGAAATTGGTACACTTAACTTAAACAATCCAAATAGTTCTGATACCAGCTATCCTCATGTTCCACAATTAAGAATGGTCAGCCACCTTAGTGGTGCAAGGGGTTAAGACTCAACCTATGAAGCTAGCTGTAGCACGAATTCGATCCCCGGCCAGGGAGAAGCAGCCCACGTGGTGCAGCAGACTTCTCCTGCCTTGCCTCTGCTCCCCTCAGCAGCGTATTTCACAATCTGCCTGTTCTGTTCCCCATTTTGTCTCTGGTGAGTCCTCTCACCCCCCACACCTCTGGCCTGTACCCCAGTTCTTGTGTGCATGAATAAATAAATCTTAAAAAAAAAGAATGTATGTCACTATATATAGAAAAAAAAAAGAGAGACTCCGAAGCTAAAGGGATTGCCACTGCAATATCTACATGTCCAACCTCTGAGATCCAAAAGGCATCTTCCCCATAGCTTCAATACTAAGCAAGCAGATGAAGTTTATTTTAGTTGTTCTTTTCGCAAACTATAGTTATGTACGGTTGATAACTCAGGATTCCTAGGCAATAACCAAGTTGTTAACACCACCCCACACAATGAAAAAAGAAAATGCCAGAAAACATATTTAAATGCCTTGTAACTAACACAAGCCTTGTAACAACAGCAAAGCATACCGAGCAAGCAGAACATAGGAGCCTTTTCATAAACGTTTAGAAATATGTACTTTGATACAGTTTTGGGATGCTCAAGACACCCATGGACATTTCATGTAAACCACTGACAATTCCTAGAGCACTTTGAGAAACTACCACATGGTCATGATCCAGTTGTGTGATTAAACCGAAAGAGAACAGATGTGCCTCAGGCCAGCGATGTGTCAATACAGCCCTTCCTCACTCTAAGGCAGTCACGGGAGCCAGGTCAAAAATTTTGTTTTTTTTTTTAATTCCTCCTCCTCCTCCTCCTCCTGCTCATTTTCATCTTCCTCTCCCACCTTTCCCCTGGCAACTTTAGTGGGATACTCCGCATCGTGAAACTTTCCCATCTACTTGGCCAGCAGGCGGGTGGCTTTTACTGTGGGCAAGTCAGCTGCCCACCGGTGCCCAATGAGAGGCTGAAGCTTGCGTTAGGTACTGAGCTAGAGAAGGGTGTGTGGTACAGTACTCTGCTGGCTTTGGAGCCGAGAGCCGTGGCAAAGCCCGATTGGGGCTCATCCTCATACTTTCTCCTTCAGCTGTGCCATGAGACTGCTTTTCTGTAGTTTTTTAAAATTATTTTTAATAATTAAAAACAGGTGGGAAGAGGACTATGGTGATGAAACTGTTTTTCTTTTTTTTAAATTTATTTTTAATGCTATTTTCTTTTTACATCATTGATCATTTAAAAAAAAATTTGCTTCCCCCACCCTCTCAGGTGTAGTCCCCATAGAGTTTCCTTCCCCAATGCACCCGTGCACCATCACCTCAGTCTCCTGTGCTCCTCCCTCCTTCCCTCTGATCCCTCTCCCGCCTCCCCTGCAGGATGGCTCTGATTTATAATTGTCTGTTTTTGCTTTGTTGTGCTTTGTACAGTTATTATTTTTTTACACTGATGTTTTATTTGGTTCCCCTATATTCCTGTTATAAGGCAACCCAAATGCCCAAAAATAGATGACTGGATCAAGAAGATGTGGTACATATACACCATGGAATACTATTCAGCAATCAAAAAAGACAAACTCATGCCATTCGCAGCAACGTGGATGGAGCTAGAAGGAATTATGCTCAGTGAAATAAGCCAGAAGGAAAAAGAAAAATATCAGATGGTTTCACTTATAGCAGGAATATAGGGGAACCTAATAAGACTGCTTTTCACTGGTACTTAACTGACGCCACATCACACCCAGCTTCTTTGCCACGTCTCCGATAGAAATGCGAGGGTGGAGCCTCCTCTGGTGGCGCAGGCGGTTGAGCGCCTCGCTGTGAAGCTGTCCGCAGCCTCTGTAGCGCAGGTTCAATCCCGGCCAACCAGCGAGGGTCCCACATGATGCAGCAGACCTCTCCTGTCTCGCCCA